CCCCCCCCCCCGCCCCACTCCTCCATTACTGGACACACCTCGGTTTGGCTATCGCTAAGGAGAACAAACTTGTCTCTCCATTGCACTTGGATAGTAACTTTAAAAGAACTTTATCCTCCTGGGGTGAGGGGGCCGGCGGCTGCACCCTGACCACCCTGAAGCTCCGCCATCCCTCCCCCGAAGTCTGGCTGACAAGAGGGGACCGTCCCAACTGCCCCGCACAGCCCGGGAGAGGACAGGAACGGCCGGCCGGGCAGGGCAGGGAGCGCAGGGCGCAGGTGAAGGGGAAGGTGGGGACCAAAGCGAGGAGCGGCGAGGCGGGGAGCGGGCGCTCAAGGGAGATGGCTTCAGGTGAAGTCCGGTCAGAAAGAGGGAGCACTGGAGCTCGGAGGCGCAGAGTTTGGGGCGCTGGAGAGGCGGGAGGGGCGGGGGGAGACGGGGAGGGGTGCCAGGGCTGGGGGGCTCCGTTACCCTCGCGACTCTCAGGGCAAGGCTCTAGGCCGGGGCGGAGCGCGGGGCCCGGCCGCCTCTCCTCCTCATTCCTCGGCAGTGACCCCGGGGTCCGAGCGGCCCCTCCCCCGACGACGATGGAGGCGGAGGCGGACACCGCGACTGTTGCTCCCCACCGGAACTGGAGCTGGAGCCAAGCCGGGACGGACCGCAGCTGGCCTCTCCCCAGTGGCTTTCCGCCGGCTCCACACCGGGTCGCCGCCACTCCGACTCCAGCGGCTGGTTCAGGATCGGTGGCTTTCGGCCGTCCGGCCGGAAACAAGCGCCCGTTTCCGGCCGGAGCGGGTTGGCGGTGACACCCTAGCCGCCCCCGGGCCTCCTCCCGCCCGCCCGCCCGCCCGGCGCGGCCGGCTCCGACCCGTCCCGCCCCGCCCCGCCCCGCCCCGCAGCGGCCCCGCCCTCAGGGCCGCGCTGGGGCTGCGGCCAGTTTGGCGCTTGCCCGGCGCGTGACCCCGCGCGTTCTTGGCTCGCGCCTCCGCGCCCCCGGGGCTGCAGCGGTGCCGAGCCGGAGCTGGGAGCTCGGCGTGGACTCTGCTAAGACTTGGGGGTCGCATCAGTTGGCGCCAGCCCTCTGGGGGAAGAAACAGAAACGGGCGGAGTAGTTCCCGAAAGGTGAGAAGGATGAGAATATTTGCGAAGAGGGCTGACATTCTAGTTACTCCACTCAGTCCTGCTGGGCCGACCCGAGGGGAATGAACGGCGCTTCTGACAAACCAGCCCCGCCCAGCTGTGCATGCCCCTTGTTCCTTCACTCCTGACGTGAACACGTCCTTTTCTGTACGGTCTTCACTTGCATAACAATGACTCCCTGATGACACCTTCGCCGCAGACTTAGCACAGCCGGTAGAAGTTATACAGTACTTTTGATTGTTAATGTGTTTTTACAACCTTACAGCGTAATTCCACGCCAGAATTTATTGAAGCCCCTACTATGTGAAGAAGGCACAGCGCTTCCTTAATACTGGAAATAGAAAAGTCGAAAGACATAAATCCCAGGCACCAGCGATCTTACAATTTAGTGTTAATGAAATGCATTAAAAATGCTTTACGTAAGGCAAGACAAACGTGTGTGCCATGTAGGTTACAGTGAGCTGTGCCTAGGAGAGCATAAACAAGCCACCTCAACCTTCCACATCTGTAAAAGAACATGGGGTGCCCCCAGAAGAACCACGTCAGTGCAAGCACAAAGTAGAGCCAGCCTCTGCTGTGCTCTAACCAACAGAACCCTAAATTTTAGTTCATGCACCCGACGCTGTGGTGCCCATCTTCAAAGCAGCGTTTGTTGTCAAAACCATGCTCTTCTGTAAAGACAAACACTACAGTCAGCTTTTCATTTCCCTCACTGCTCTCAGGGGGCTTTGGGTTTCCGAGGGGAGGGAGGGATGGAGCATAGCATCGTCCAGACTAAGACACTGACACCCGAAACAGGAAGCCTGCTGGACAGCTGTATCTCTTGAAGGACACCCTTAAGTTCAGTAGTTTAGAGTTGACGGTTTAGGGCAGGACCTAGGGCCATGTGTACACACCTCAAGCCAAGCAGAGCAAGGTGCCTTGCATGGAACATACCGGAATTTACAAGGCAACTTAACAAGCAGAGACCTTTGGCCAGAGCTTAAAAGATTCAGGGACTGCAGATTGTTCAGCGACAAATTTGAAGAGAAGAATAGGATGAGATTTGGTCACTTCTGTTGATCCTAATTGAATTCCATAGAACATTCTAGACCTTGATAGCTAGGTCTGCAGTGGGAAGGCAGATCTATGCAAAGCTGAAAGCTGTTTTCACCAAGGCCTCCAGGACCAACTGGCGAACATCTCTTAACTAGGTCTGTTCTGCTTCACCCGCCCACCGACCCTGCGGGACCAGGTATGGCGCTCAGAGGCTCTCTCCACCTTGAGTACAAGGCAGACTTTTTTCTTCTGGCAGTGACCACAAAAAGTGGTCCAGATTCAAAAGCTGTGCCAAGCGGCTGGTCAACGCCATGCAAGCGACCACACCTCGTAGGCCTGCCCGGAAATTTAGGGATCAGGAAAGTGATGAGGTCGCAGTTGCCCCATGCCTCTTTCTTACTCTGACTGACCGTCCGTCCGTCCGTCAGTCATTGTTTGTGCAGTAGCTCAATGGACTGCTTGTCTCTGGCCAGCTCTGTCTGTGTGGGCAGCAGTGTGGTCAGCTGGGCTGGAAGCCAGGCCACCTGGGTTCTGGTCCCGGCTCAGCCAGCCCCCGATCCATTAAGTGACTCCCTGCCCGTTCCTGTGCGGTCAGCATCTTCGCCCATAAACTAGGGGCCTCTGCTCCGTGGTGTACGGCCATTCTGGCTGTCACCGTGTCCGACGACGCTCAGAAGCCGCCGCCATCTGATTGTGAACAGTCACAGCAGCCGGAGGACAGCTGAGTCTTTTCTTTTTCTTTTTCTTCTCCTAGGTAGAATAGTAAGGAAAGGATGGAAAACCCCACCAGTGTCCACAAGGCCACGCCCTCATCTGCTACTCAGTTCAGCGTTCTTTTCCACCCTAACGACTGTTTCTGTTTGGTTTCCTCGTCTTAGTGATTCTAATCTTCTAGAAGCTCCCTGCACTTTACCTTGTCTTTCACCAGAGCTCCTCAAAGGAGACCCAGCACCTGGCTGAGGTCTGGTGCAGGGGAAATATTCAGAGAAAGCTGTTTGCAGCTAACCAGGAAGAAAAAGGAGAAATTATTTGCATTTATATGTTTTTGTGGTAGAAAAGAAAACCAAACCGAAATAACTTCCTCTCTACCACCATGACTATAATTTAGACCAGTGGTTCTAGGGCACTTTTAAAACTATGTACTGTACTGCTTAGGAATGTCAGGCTAACTCAGAATTCTTGGGGTTGAAGACAACAAATCTATATTTTAAAAAAATACTTTTTCTAAGTTAAATCCATTTCTGCCCTCTGACCCAGAAATTCTACTCCTGGGTATTTACCTACTAGAAATGGGAAAATATTTGTCTACAAAAAGCTTATGTATGAATGTTCATAACAACTTTTTGTTTGTTTGTTTTTGTTTTTTGAGACAAGGTTTCTCTGTGTAACGGTCCTGGCTGTCCTGGAACTCGCTCTGTAGCCCAGGCTGGCCTCGAACTCACAGAGATCCGCCTGCCTGTGCTTCCCGAGTATTGAGATTAAAGGCGTGGCATGCTCTACTACTTACTACTACTACTACCACCACCACCACCACCACCACCACCACCACCACCACCACCACCGCCCGGCTACAACTTCATTCTTTTTTTTTTTTTTTTTTTTTTTTTTTTTTTTTGGTTTTTCGAGACAGGGTTTCTCTGTGTAGCTTTGCGCCTTTCCTGGAACTCGCTTTGGAGACCAGGCTGGCCTCGAACTCACAGATATCCGCCTGCCTCTGCCTCCCGAGTGCTGGGATTAAAGGCGTGCGCCACCACCGCCCGGCTACAACTTCATTCTTAATAGAACCCAATGGAAACCTTTAAAATGACCATAATAAAAAAATGGACATCTATACTATCTACCACAGATTTTTTTAAATATATAAATAAACTACCTTTAAGCACAATAATATCGGTTAAACTCAAAATCATCTTTTTTTTTAGATTTATCTTATTGTATGCATTTGAGAATTTTGCTTGCATGTATGTACAGCAAGTTTGTGCAGTGCCCAGGGAGGCCAGAAAGAGGATGTCAGACACACACACACACACACACACACACACACACACACACACACACCCCGAACTGGAGTTACAGATGGGTGTGAGCTGGGAACTGAGCCTGGATCCCCTGCAAGTGTTGTTAACCACTGGTCCTGGATCCCCTGCAAGTGTTGTTAACCACTGGTCCTGGATCCCCTGCAAGTGTTGTTAACCACTGGTCCATCTCTCCAACCCTTGCAAAACGTTTGATTGTTGATGTTTGCTCAATTGTAGAACCCTCGTCTAGGATCCAAAGGCCCTGGGTTTGATACCCAGCACTGTGAGAGGACACACGCACAGACACACACACACACACACACACACACACACACACACACACACACAATTTGTTGAGGAAAAAACGTCATTTAGATGAAACTAAAATTCCAGGACAGGCAGAAATACACAATAGTAAGTATCCACCAAGGCCACCTATTAAAGGAGAAGAACATTAAATACAGAGAGACACAAAAGGGTTTTCTAAAGGATGGGATATTCTGTTGGTACTAATAGCTGTTACACATGGATGTCTCATTGAAGTTTTTTTTTCTTAAAATGGTTATTATTTCACATATATGGGTATATTCCCTGCATATAGATCTGTGCACCATGTGCCTGTTTTCCCATGGGGGCTAGAAGAGGGCATTATATCCCCTAGAAGTGGAGGTACAAATGGTTGTGAGCTCCATAGATGCTGGAAATCGAACCCGGGTCCTCTGGAAGAGCAGCCAGTGCTCTTCAATGCTGAGCCGTCGCTCCAGCCCTGTGTACGTCACGTTGTGTACTTGAGATTTGCTGTAGGTGAATTTTGTTACTGTTAAAAAGAAAAGAAGAAAGGAGAGAAAATCCAGGGTTCCTTCGTAATGCTTAGACAGGTTATAAGTCATCTGATATTCCCTTTACCCATTAGATTCTAAATCTCCATGAGGTAAACTCATCATTTTTATGTATAATAACTACAACAATATTTGGCCTATGATAGTCATTCATTCACTATTAGTTGAATTTGGTAGCAAATTGGCCATTGAGAGCCACTGTTTTAGTAACTTGTCATTAAAGTCTAACAGGAGCCGGGTATTACGGTTCATGACTAATTCCCAGCACTTAGGAGGCCAAGGTAGAAGGATTTCAAGTTCAAGGCCAGCCTGAACTACAAAGCAAGACCCTGTTGTTGTTGTTGTCATCATCATCATCATCATCATCATCCAGTATCATTGTTCGTCTTTACTCCCGGACCTTCTGTCTGCTTACATGTCATTGCTAGATTATACCTCCTAATGTGCTCCAAAGACCTCTCTCCACCAAAGCAGTACAGGCTAGATAGCTCTTCTCGGTTGTCAACTTGATACCCCTGGGGGAGAGGGAGCCTCAGATGAGGATTTGTCTCCATCAGATCATGTCTTTGGAGTGGACGTTTTGTGTTTGTTTGTCTGTTACTGCTGATTGATGGAGGAGGGCCTCACCCACGGTAGGTCGGCCATCCCCGTCAGGCAGACCTAGAGTGTATAAGGAAGGTAGCTGAGCAGAAACAGGGAGCAAGTCAGTA